AGTGTGTCTATTTTTGTATACTGCATATTTGGGGCTAAACATCGACCTCTGAGCAGGACTAGATAAATTCCTGATTTATCACTTACTTCATGTATTAAACATGGTCACAAGATAAGCTGAAATATTTCAGTGTTAGAAAACATATGATTCATCAGGAACTTATTTTAACTGATGAGCCATTACGATTTTACCATGCCATCGGCACTGATGTAAATATACACATGCACAATGTCAAAAACATATTACTTGACACTCTAGATATAGCAATTACAGGTATCATGTCAGTTGTGAAGTGAAAATAGTGTCAGTGACAGTGGAGTTGCAATCGATTGAACTCGAAGATTTACCGCAGTGACTAAACGGCCAAGCAATGGATCATGTTTTCTCATAATCAAACACAAACAATTTTTGAACACTTGTTTGCATTAACAATATTTTTCACAAGGTTGTTTTTGTCTGTGTCGTTAAATTTACATTTCTTAAGCACTACAAGTTCGTTCCAAGTCATGACTGAATTTATCTTAAAGACTCCATGAAGTTCATGTTCCTAACATATTAGTTGTCGTTTAGAGATTAAGTTGGATGTGAAATTTGCAAAGTAGAATAACTACATGTTCTTTGTGTATTTTTATGTGCATTAACAACCATAACAGGAAAATGAGTTAAATGGCGCAAACCAATTTTTTTCGATGATTGAACGGTTTTAATGAATGAATCATCAATTCTTAGATTTCAACAATTCCCAAGACTAGTCAGCAGTGAGCATAATGATGATGATGATGACAATGAAGATGACAAAAGTTATGACACCGACGAGATAATTCTTAAACTATGAAAACATATTAAACGAATTTAAAGAATTGAATAAAGTGTTTCTAGATCTTGTGCCATTTCATGGGCTAACTGGATGTGAAAAACTTAATCGAATGAACATGATGAAGCACAAATTTTCAACTGGCACACACACACACACAAAATCCCACAGGGTGCAGCCCCTGGCACACACTCTCAATATTCCAGCTACATGACAGCGGTCTGTAAATAATCACGGCATGTCAGACGATCCAGTAATTGACATCATGAGTATTGATCAACACAATTGGGACACGATGACATGTATCAACCAAGTCAGTTAGATTGACCACCCAAGTGGCCTCAAGCATGGACAGCTGAAGATCAATTCTAAACTGGATCTTCATCATTCGATATTTTTCGACAATATATGAAACAGAAAATGGGGCTTATGGTTATTCTGATTATAACGCCCCCTTTCAATAATATTTATCATGATTATATCGACCACAAATATGGTGTCACAAGAAATTCTGACAATGCAGTTTGTTCGTTGTTTAATGCCTCACTCCACAATTTTCCAGCTCTATGAGGTGAGGTGAGGTGAAATTGGGTTTTACGTCGTACTTGAGAATATTTCGCTCATATGACGACGTGCATGTGTATGTGTATGAGTGGCTGCTTGTACTAGCCCAGACTTAAACTGGTTTAATAGTGCTAGAACACTGAGATACCACGCCGCAGTGAAGCATGAATACCCCACTCAGACAAATTATACTGACTCCGAGCCAACCAGTCCTTGTTGTACCCATTAATGCCGAGCGCCAGGCAGGGACCAACAAGTACCATATTTTAACGTTTTTTGATATGACGCGACTGGGGATCGAACCCCTGACCTTCCGATCTCCCGGGCAGATGCTCTCCAGCTCTATGAAGGTGGTCTAAATAAATAATTGAGGCAGATCAGACAATCCAGCGATAAACATCATAAGTATCAATCAATGCAGTTGGGACATGATGACATTCTATGGTTCAATCAAGTCAGCAAGCCCCACCACCCCATCCCTTTAGTCACCTCTCACTATGAGCAGATCGTTCCTGAAGATCAATTCTAATTTCTATGGACAGACATATTTTGCAAATGAATGCTGTCACATAATTCAACTTCCTTACTAAATCATTTTAACTGCAATACAGAGTCAGGTGCTTTGCATTTGGAAACAGGAAACAACTTCTCATCATCTGACTCGTAACTCATACTCCAGTAGCCTGATGAAAGTTTGCAGAGATTTGATCTGCTGTTTGAGAGTGATTTTGTAGAGCCTTGTTTTGCATCAATCGATCCTGTATTCATGTTGTTCACCTTGGACACCCTGGAAGAGGTGGATCTCCAACATTTAATTTTGTTGGTACCTATTCCATGCTCAGCTGATCACAGAACTTGAACTATTAAATGTATTGGCATCTGTTTCCACTATGACAATAGCCGATACATGTTCTGCACGATGCAGACACAGGATTGCTAGTTCATGCACAAATAATGAATGAAATCAAGTATACCACAACTGTACAATAAGCAGAATCAATAACATCAACAGAAGCCATTGTTCCATATAGATTAATTAATCTTCCTTGAAAGTCTCAAAATCGGGAATGACAGCCTACCCACATGGAGACTACGAATAGTTGTATTTTGGTGTTAAGTTTCACAGACTAAATAAGTGTTGTAAACACTAATCTCTTCTATGCTTTGTATCAACATTTACATTTCATGAACCCCAACTTTTTTAAGGAATACAACTATATAGTTTGGGTAACCATGCTATGGTACATTCAGCTGAAATGCTGTTCTGACTGAAATATGAAACGAGTGATGATCAATGTCATGACTGAAGAGGAATTCATGGAGGGAAATGTGATCGTCTTAATTACATTGGCAATACAGATGGTGCACTGCTGAGTTTACGATCCAGTAGCCTCTATCTATCTATATTCCTGTACAATATGTGCAGAACTTACTCATTTGCTTGATGACTATCTGCCTCCTAAATAAAGATTTCTACTGCTCAGATCATGATAAATATATTTTATGTGGTTAGGTACTGCTGAAAAGATCAACTTCAATTCTTTAGTCCAAATTTGCTTTCATGTGGGGTTTTACGTGATACAAAATGTGTGTCAAGTATGCATAATGACTAGAATAGAGATTTATGGAATATGCGGCATGTCCCACACTCAATAACAGTCATTGTACCAAATTCTTGACAAGAAATATACATGTATTATTACATCTTAACGTATCGCCTACAGTAGGGCTGTGTATTGGCACATAAATTGTTTTGCAATATTTTGCGATTCTGGTACCCGTATTCCGATACGTATTGCGATATATTGGAGCCAAAGTGTTTGACAGTGAGTGATATCGATTGTACATGCAGAGCCTATATTTTCTACATACAAAATCCATAAAAATAAATTTCATGGTTGTGATAAAAGAAATTCCCGGATGTTGATTTGATTTTGAGGGATTGTATTTTCATTTCCATAAAATACATTGTTTGTAAAGTATGCTGTTTTGTCAATTAATCACAATGGAAAACTTCGGTGTGAATGAAAGTCTGTGTAGATTTTAACTTAAACCATAGAGATAATCACAAAACTTCATATACATATTTTATTACACAATGTACCGGTTCTGAAAAAAAACATTGCAATACGTATCGTTTAAAGGGCGTATTGCAATATACCAGTATACCAGCAATACCATGCAGTCCTAGCATACAGTATAAAAACTTTACAGGACCCTCAAAATCAAATTACTCAGTAAGTTAACCTGGAAATAGAAAACTGGAGGTCCTTTGGTCCCCTACAACAGGCAAGGTAAAACCAGGCCTGTATTCATAATCTGTCTCACCATAACTGTTTTCAAGGACATACATTGAAATCTAGACAACAATGCTGTAGCATCATGATCTGTGTGGACATGGCAAAATCATCAACAAATATATTGAATGACAAACATCACTGGAGATTTTGTATTACCATGATATCAGAGTTATGGCCCTTGTTTGATCTCTTAGATATGGAGCACAGGAACCCCTAATGTGGACAGTTTGCTCTAAAACTACTATAAATACAATGATGATATGTTATATACACCATTAATGGAAATAAATGTTGACTTTGTTCTAAAATGAGCACATAGAAATGTTATTTTATAGACTAAGTGACATGTTTGAACTACCCAACCCTCATTTTGTGGACTTTGACAAGTAAAAACACTGCAGGCCTGTCTTGTGGTTCAGAGAACAATGGGACAGGAGGTCAGTGGACCATGAACTGTTGACGGTGAATCTATAAAACTATAACCTTCCTCTTCTGAGCACCACCAGTCTAACAGTAACAGCCACTGTGTACAGTTTGTATGCCAAACCTGTTCTTTTTCACATCACAATTCCAATGACAATTTAACTCTAAAAACAACCTTGTGTAGTTTCCTGTTATTATGACTGTAACACCACCACATCAAAACAAATCTGTGCAAGTTGCCATGGTGACAGCAATTTGAATGTTTTTCATTGAGTAAATGATTGAATGTTGTTTATGTGTGAGTAAGCACTATTCCAGTTACATCATAGTAACCAGAAAGTAAGGTCTCTACCCAACAATCAGCGAGTGACAGCATGAGCTACAATCAACTTTAGACAGGACACAATCCAGCTCATGGAGTCATACATTATAAAAACATGGATCCATTAGCAATCTAACATTAAGATAAGCATTGGGCACTACTGCAAACTTCTTACACTCCAGAATCAAGACTGTGATTGATCGATGTTGGCGGAAAGGTATCCTGTTACACATGCATTTTCAGTGTCATTATTACCATATATGCTAGTGTTCTGTGATGTCAATCGACTCAATGGGCTCAGAAGAAACCTGACCTTCTCGTAAAACTGATGAGTATTTGAGGGTTGGGATCAACTGCAGTATCTGGTTTCATACTAAATCTCACAATTCAGTGAATATTTCAACACCGATTATTTTCATATCGAGGCGTTTCATATCAAAACCTAACACGTAAACAAGTAATAATAAGGTCCCTTGACAATCACAACTGTAAACAACCCCGTCAATATAGCGAGAGCCACTGCATGACACAAAGACGATTGACGACTTATTGAAGATTCATAAACAAAGGCACCTACCCCTTCTCCATTATGCTTGGAGATATGTATGAATACTGCAGTTGCAATCAGCTGTCAAGTCTTATCTCGCAACTCGGCATTCCTCCTGCGATATCATCTTCATCATCAGCAGACTTGCACTTCCTCCGAATCAAAGCAGACGCCAAGTAGCTGCCATATTTTAGCATGCAGCAGTTTCTCACTCCGACAAATTACATCACGGCTAATTGTCACTCTCTGTCGCTGTCATTCCGAACGTGGAGTGAGTCATATGTTGGCCTCGTTCACTAGCTAGATTATGTTAATAGAACCACCGACATTCATGAATGAAAGAAAAAGCTGCCGACGACCAAGCAAGTAGGTCAAACTGTATTTTCCACACAGCTCATTATAATAAATGTTGACAGTACTCTGTTGGACACATGGTTTCACGATTCTTTTCCATGCATTGTACGGTTGATGCGGAGGTACGAACTTCAGTGCCATACCTACTGCTAAGTCTTATTCTCTAAATATATATAAGGTAAAATAGCATTTTTATACCATGATAAATGATGCACAAAGCTCATATTTTCACTCATGGATATATATCTATTCGAAGTCCGAACTAAATTATACTTGATCATTTATATTTTAACTTTGTGTTGTTGTTTTTTGCTTTTATAGGGAATTACTCCGTCCGTAGGAGAGTTATTTAAAGTTTTATTCTTTGTAGGAAAATAATAAAGAAAACGGAAATATTTTGTAATAGTTTAGTAAAATAAAATACTGTTATTCTACTAGTTGACATGCAGTTGTAATGACAATCATTAAAATCAATTTTTCGTTCGTTCATGCGAGAATCACTATGTCCCTATAAACCTAATATAATTCATCACTAATATTTGACAGTTAAAAAATACATGTACAAACTACTTTTACATTGAAATGAATGCAAAGGTTTCTTCGGGACCCTCAGACACAGAAATAGTAGACAAGAAGCTCGGATCAGTCCTACTTTTCATCGATACAGAGAGAGTAGCAAGGGAAATCGTGTATCAATAAGCTACATATATTCATGCTACCGATAAATCAACCTTAGCGTATCCTAGTTAGACATGTATCCGTTTGCTTTGCTAACTGAAATTAGGTAACCAAAGTCCTTCCTATTGGCACATTGAATAATGAATTATCACCATATTTCACCACAAGCTCTTTACTCAATCTATTATGTTGTCTAGAAAGTAGCACAATATATACAGGGGGCGTTACTCACCAAGTGACATTTCAGGTTTCCGCTAGGAAATTTTGTGAGCGCCAGCTATGACGAATGATCGATGTGTCCACGGGTAAAATCGCTATGGCATTCCGATTGGGATAGAAACCGCACTCGACATTGTAGTGTAACTGTAGTGGAAATATAGATTGATTCCCGACAAACAAAATAACAACATGAAAGGTTAAAACATTCTATTCTCGTTTCCTAAGTGCAGGTCCACTCTAATAAACAGCCCATCCATTTTTCATTACACTAGACCCCCCGAAAGAATAATTAAACAACTCGAGAATTTATTGAAGAGTTGGTCATCCGATTATTAAAACTACAACTTCTTTTCGTTATGACTGATCACAAAGAGTCAATAACCGTTTATGTACAAATTACATCATACGCATTAAAAAGCATATTAAACGTTTAATTATTACGTAAGGTGGGGTTTGTTTTCTCGTTTGTTTGTTTTAAAAAAGTCCTTTACGTGTACGTGTGTCAGTCAAATAAGAATATTTTCCTCTGAATTTGGCACCCACCTATCACATCCACTATCGTAGACCTCACTACTTTAGGTTTGTTTTCGCTATTTATTTACGTGCCGCAATATTTCAGTAGGAGAGCGCTGTAAACAATTAACTTGTCCAGACCACGAAATTATGAGCATCAACTCTAGCTATTACGGTGCGATGCAATACCATCTATCGTGTCACCAACATTCACCACCCGATCCATTCAGTGTCACTTATAGGTTTAGGGTTGCTGGGGACCAATTCTAACCTGCCGAGTGAGTGTGTATAGTTTTACACCGCTTTTAGCAATATTCCAGCAAATATCACGGCGGGGAACACCAGAAACGGGCTTCACACATTGTACCCATGTGGGGAATCGAACCCAGGTCTTCGGCGTGACGAGCGAACGCTTTAACCACCAGGCTACCCCAACGCCCTAGGTCTAACCCGGAATCCATACGAGTAAACTATGCTGCATCTCCACTGACATTTTCATTACACATTCATCAAATTTAATGGCGTCACCCATACGGCAAGAGTTACTCGGCCGTTTGACCCCCGTCACGTCCGTCAAATGATGAAGTCACGCGTCTAGCCTTACACAATGCGATCTTAGTGGCGCAGTTACTGTAAGCGTATATGTTAAAGCATTTACGACAGTCATAGGGCAAATCATTCAAACTAAAATTGAGGGAAGTCACTTGAACGAGTTCAGGTCATATACACATCATCGTCACAGAATTAATGATGTAATAGTTGTTATAAATCTAAATTAAATTACGGTTTATTTGAGAGTGTCCTTTCTTTGCGGTTTTGTAAATGCTCTAAAGATTAATAAGGATTAACTTCAACATCAACATGACAACTAGAATTACACAAGTCTATATATATATATATATTGTTCAACACATTGTTCAGGACAGCCTTGGAGCGAGGTTACATGCCAATCTCTCTCTCCCTCTCTCTCTCTCTCTCTCTCTCTCTCTCTCTCTCTCTCTCTCTCTGTCTCTGTGTGTGTGTGTGTGTGTGTGAGAGAGAGAGGGCGGGATGGGTGAGTGTGTGCGTGCGTGTGTGTATTTTGGGTAAGTTAAACTAGAGTATCTCTAAAACAATAACAGGCTCGCCGACTTGGTTGACACATGTCATAGTATTACGATTGCGTAGATCGGTGTTCATGCTGTTGATCACTGGATTGTCTGGTTTATTTACAGGCCGTCGCCATATAACTAGAATATTGTTGAGTACAGCGTAAAACTAAACTCACTCACACTCTAAAACAATATCACTTTTGTCTGGCCTGATGTTTATTGTTTAGAGCGGGACGGTGCATGAGATAGTAAGCGTCCGTTGAAGAGCCGGATTCGATTCCCCACATGGATACAATTTGTGAAGCCCAATCATGGTGCCCATGCCGTGATATTGCTGGAAAACTGCTTAAAACCATACTCACTCACTATTGTTTAGAGCAAACATATTTAAACTATATGACACGTATATGTCGGTCTGTAAATAATCGACCTTGGACCAGACAGTCCATTGACTGACATTATCAACACTGGTATACGCAATTGGGATACGATGACATGTGTCAACCAAGTCTGCGAGCCTGACCATGTGCTCGGTCCGTTAGTCCACTCTTACAAGTATAGGTTGCTGAGAACCAATTCTAACGCGGATCTTCCCAAGGATTGTCAGTCCTGAACGGACCCATGAAGATCCAGGTTAGAATTGATCTTCAGTAACCTATGCTTGTCGTAAGAAGCGACTAACGGGATCAGGTGGTCAGGCTCGCTAACATGGTTTTGACACGTGTCATCGTATCCCAATTACGTAGATCGATGCTCATGCTGTTGATCACTGGATTATCTGGTCCAGACTAGATTATATACAGACCGCCGTTATATAGCTGGAATATTGCTGAGTGTGGCGTAAAACAACCAACCAACCAAACAACTAGTCCTGAACGGCGTCTGTACATGTGTGTTATTATTTCATCATCATTTCCTCCGACTGATGCGGGAGAATGTTTTGAGGGAGAATTCGTGCGGCGTTAAACAACCAACAGCGTGTGTGTTATTTTTTCATTATCATTTCCTCCGACTGATGCGGGAGAATGTTTTGAGAGAGAATCCGTAGTGTGGCAGATGCTGCCTGTGAAAAAGATACCCGCCAGCTGTCTTCATGCACATATTAAACACCGTAGTTGAAGGCGAGCAAGCCAACAACCACGTGTCAAACACATCAGATGAATGGAATATACACCAACAGTCGATATGCTGCGTTACTGGGAGGATGCTTTGCGAGATTTATATACATAATAACATAAACTTCCAGACAATAATAATATACATTTCAAAACTGTCAAAAATTGTAAATTTTATCAACACGTTCCTGAACTGGAAACACTCGCCGAAACATTGCAAGCTTATAGTTGAGAACACTGAGATGATATTCGTATCAATGCTTACCATCTTGACTGACGCTTAATATAATATATTATTATGATAATAATTATACATAAAATGTATAATTTATTTATACAAGTTTATATAATTCTCTCTCTCTCTCTCTCTCTCTCTCTCTCTCTCTCTCTCTCTCGTGCGTGCGTGCGTGCGTGCGTGCATGCATGCATGCATGCATGCATGTATGTATGTATGTATGTATGTATGTATGTATGTATGTATGTTTGTATTATAATATATTTTTTATAATTAAATAATAATATCATATTGATCTGAATAAGAAACAAGTAATTCCATTTCTATTTAAAACGAGTACCAGTGAAATGTGACATTCAGAAAGTAAACTTTAGGGCTTAAGCTTTGCAGGAAGGGCAGGGCAGAAGGGAAAATAATGCGGATCAGAGACTGTGAGACAAACAAATCTTCATCGAATAACCATTTCTTGCTAGTTTCATTTTAGCCGCCATCGAATATGGGCGTGTACTTTCTTTTGCCCGGCTGGTCAGTACGGCAATGACGGACATGCGGCTTTATGCATGCATATGTACAGTTGGTGGAGTTCAGATAGAAGGACACAGCTGCAGCAGCAATGTGTATGTGGTGTTCATTTCACCGCTGGTGTGAATATCGATCAACTGACATCTCGCCTCTGATGTGTGTTGACGTGGAGGCCATATCACACGTGGGTATATCCGATGGCCTTACGTCGATAAGTTGATAACGTAAGGTTTTGAATGGTGTTATTGATAGAAATGACTACACATTATGTAAGTATCGACTTTAATTCTTTTCTTCGTTGCATACAGTATTGCATTAGAATTTGAAATTAAACTGCAATGACGTAATATGTAACTATTTCTTTTAATCATTTGTAATAACTGTGGTTATAAACAACTGGTATAATTTATTGTTTTGTGAATCACCTTCGAGGGTTTGTTTTTAAAACAATTACAGTTCCTATCAGACCGATTCCAAATGATAAGTGATTAAATGCTTTAAAGTGTAAAAGTTAAAATTGTGAAGCAATTCATCAGTGGTGAGTGTACATTTTCTGCGGAAATATTTGAAGTGGACAGTGACTGTACCTAGTATTTAGTGGTAAAACGGTTCGATTCCTCAATGGGTATATCGT